TAGAAATAGGTATACGACGCGTATTATTAGAAATAAACAAAATACAAAAAATAAAAAGAATACTAACTGTATATAATTGTTAGAAAAAGTCATGAAGTCAAATGTACGAAAACGATAAGATGATATGCGGATTTTCCATGCAAAATGTTCTTAAACGGTCATTTGACCGGTTTAGTGTTAAACAAAACAGGCGAAGTAACTTCGTTTTGTTGTTGTCATGACTCATAAGTTCCAAATAGAAATTCTCGCCAAAATCTGAAAATCACGACGTGAAAGGAATAATAATAAAAATAATACAAGACTAAATTGTGATGCATGAAGTTATAATAGAAAGTCTGTTTACTTGTGTGCTGTTAAGGAGATGGGAAATCAAATTATAAAGATTATTCATGATTCGTGTTCAAAATAGATGATCAGGTAATTTCTCATTGTCTTCAAATGGAAAAACATAGAAATTACGTAAAAAAGAAAATTTTGTTTTCTGATTATTAAAGAGAGGCATTTATCACATTTTCTATTAATTACTACAAATAAAGTTAAAATTTATATACAGTCCCTGGCCAAATTATTAGACGCACTATAAGATTCTATGTAAAATCTTAATTATCAAGTGATACTTATCTCTTATCCTCTACGTGCCTTGGGCACTTATGGCCTCTAGCATATCCCTCCAACGCCTCCTGTCTTTAGCAATAGATCTTGCTTCCTCCCAGCCAGATATTCTACATTCTTTTAATTCGCCCAAAAACATGCGCTGGATGGTAAGTCTGGGTCTTCCTCTTGTTCTTTTACCATCAGGGGCCCATGTAAGCGCANGATACATCGAGATCGAATGAAATTTTTTCTTTGGGCATTCTAAGGATATGTCCGAGCCAGCTCCATCTTCGTTTTTTAATTTCATCTTCGATTGTTTTTATTTTAGCTTTCTTTAATAGATTTTGATTTGATACTTTGTAATGCCAGAAAATTTCAAAAATAAATTTTAAACATTTGTTTTGAAAGGTTTCTAATTTTTGTATTTCGATCTTAGTCTGTTTCCAGGTTTCTGCGACCTGGTTCAAGTGATACTATACAGCTTTATTCTTTTTACCCGACTGAAACCGGTTTGCACTTGTTTATACCCTCCTGTATCATTTGGTTAACATTGTAATGCGATATGTTAAAAATAAATACAAATAGGAAGTATATAAAATAATCTCCTGAATAAAAACCCATTACATGTATGTTTAAATATAAAAGTATTCCATATAAACTCGTGCAAAACATTCAGTTATTAAAACACTAAAGTGCGTCGATTAATTTGGTCAAATTATTATGATATACTAATATAATACATGATGTAATAAATATTCCATATTTATATAATATGGCGTCTGATTTACATTATATATCGCCTAATTTAAAATATTGAAACACGAACGTAAACAAGTGTAAACCGGTTTCAGTGGCGTAAAAAGAATAAAGCTGTATAGTATCACCTGATAACTAGGATTTTACATAGAATCTTAGAGTGCGCCTAATCATTTGGGCATGGACTGTAATTCAAATATATAATTTTTAAAGAGAAACTTCTACATTTTTTAACGAGGATTCCGCAGAACAAAAAGTTCGACAAGGTTTAGCTGCAAGGTAATGATGTATGTAACATAAAAAGCTTCAATTAATCTTTTTATGTTAGTTTCTTCGTTATGAAACAACTCCTAATTTATTACTACTTAATTCTTCGAATCGAAGCACTTTATGATACTTTTAAGAAACCACATCCTGTTTCTAAATCTATTTTTAGCCAACTATACATAAATTTAAATAAAGATATTTTTTCCTTTTAAGCCTTGTGAGAATCGCGTGATATATTTAATTAACCAATAGTAATTTCTGAGTTTTCCCTCTTTTCCCTAAATAGAGGCATTTTAGGATTTTTTGCATGATTTTCCCTACCAGAAAGACTGTTTGCTGATGGAGTAAACATCACTTATTCGCTCCCACTCAACTAAGAATGATCAAATAAAAGTTTCTCTGATTTAATTTAAATCCTGTGTCTGTTTTCCTGCTCGGTCCGACTGCATCATTTTACATGTATACTAATCTTTATCCGGTTGCAGCTATGTAGATCTCCGTACTTATTTTATTCTTTTTAATTTTTCAAATGAAATTCATGAACCTATGGAAAAATAATGATTTAAAAAATGTTGAGTAACTTCTCTTAAAAGTAGAGTTTGATTTTAACATAATGACGCTTTTGTCCCTTCTAATAATGTTAAGGCCCGATTCACAGAGCTGGCACGAAGCCAAAGTCTTTTGTGGACGAAGTATTCAAATAAGGCAACGTAGTTGAAATGCGTTTCCGGGGAAAAAAAGTTTAAAAAAAATTGTTTTACTTGTAAAGAAATGCTTTTAGTTATTTATTTAAAAAAGCTTTTAAAAGTTTGAGTTTCTTTAATTTTGCAAGTAAAAGAGTTTAAGACTTCCTTCAAAATAATTTTGTAGCAAGCAATTTAATTTTTCTTTTACGCAAAAATTATATGAATCAAAGGAAATTATCTTCAATTATTTATAATTTTTATGACATAATTTAGTTTTTATTATTTTTTTTAAATTTTATAAGTTGCATTTTACCAATGCAGTTACCTGTTTCTATTTTGAAATTAGAAAGATAATTTTATTTTATGATATAACCGTCGTTGAACAGTCGACCCAATTTTTGGGTCTACGACTACTAATGTTAAACTCCGTATCTTTGTAATTTTGAACCCAATCCGGGAAAACAAGGGAACTACTGGATCAAGTATTGGGAGAAATCGGCCTTCTTGGAGGACTTTTCTGATGGAACTAACCCGCATTTGCGTTACATGGAGAGGAAGACCGCGAGAACCTTAGCCTGACGGCAAAGGGACTCTAACCCTTTGCCGTCAGACGTCCATGATTCGTCTACCACTGAAGATATTACACGTCGGCACTGTGGTCGGTGCAAGCCGGATGCGGATTCGTATCGACTAGCCATCGCTGATGGGATCGAATCCGGTTCACTCATTGGAAGGCGAACGCTTTATCCCCTGAGCCATCGCAGCTCATCAAGGTAATTTGATTTTTTTAAAAAAAAGAGTTACATTAGTTATCGTAAACTAAAATAAATTCAGTGCCACGACAGCCCATGGAGGGCCAAGGCCTACTGTGCCCATCTCAGTTTTCTTGACCTTGGGAGCTGGGGTGCAGGTGCAGATGTTCCGTCAGGGTGGTAAGCTAAATACAGAACCCCCAGTGCTTAGTTCCGAAGTATAATTGATACTCATTTTATCGACCCACTGAGGGATGAAAGGCTGAGTCAACCTTGCCCGGTCAGAGGATCGAACCCAGGACCTGTGGCACGAGAGCGAGAAGCTAGATATCTTACTATTTCATAAAGTTTACTACTTTTAATAAAAATGTAATATAAATATATACTGCAGATTAAATACACATCATTACAAAGCATAATTTTTGTTAAAGGGAAATTTTATAGAGGAGAAGAACTTTATGGCGAACTTGGGGTTGCAAATTGATGAAAAATAATAGCTAATAGATAAGCTTCTGAAGACACTTTTCCACAAACAGTGTTTATTTTAATGTCCTGCTATTTCATTTCTCGAGTTAAAAAATTTTCAAATAAAAAAACAAATCTACAAATCATTAAACCTTGAGCGAAATGGAAATTGGATGATTTTATTCGAAATTTTATATTTAAAAGTAGTGATGACCTGAGAGATTTTTTAAAAAAATAGTTTTAAATGTATTTTTAGGTACCAAAATTGGGTTAAATTTGATTTTTAAGGAAAAAAAATTAAGCGTTTAATTTCAGTGCAGAACGTTTTATATTATTCGTTTTGCTGGTTAAATTTATAATTGCTAAATTGACTATTATTATTTTACACTTTTATAAAATTAAAGTTTGAAAATTGAATTGTAAAAAAAAATTAGCGTAATGACCAGCAATTGCACTGCTTAGAAAAAAAATTATATGATCTAAAAATCCTTAAACAAGTAAGAAAGAAATGGAAATTAGATGATTTGATTCAAAATTTTGTATTTAAACATAATGATGACCTAAGAGATTTTTAAAAAATAATTTTAAATATATTTTTAAGTGCAGAAATTTGATTAAATTTGGGTACAAAGAAAAAAAAAATTAAAGGTCCAATTTCAATGCAAAATTTTTTACATTATTTGTTTTGCGAGTTGATTTTATATATGATTGCTAAACCGACTATTTTATATTATTTTATAACCGTCGTTGAACAGCCTACCTAATTTTTGGGTTCACGACTACTAATGTTCAACTCCGTAGCCTTGTCCTTTTGATCCCAATCCAGAAGACAAGGGAACTCCTGGAATCAAGTAATTAGGAGAAATTTGCCTTTGTGGAGGGCTTTTTAATGAAACTAACCAGCATTTGCGTTTCATGGGGAGGAAGACCACGAGAACCTTCCACGGTTAGCCTGACGGCAAGGAGACTCTAACACATGATCCGTCTACCACTGAGGATATTTCACGTCAGCACTGTGGTCGGTGCAAGCCGAATGCGGAATTCGTATCGACCAGCCATTGCTGGGATCGAACTCCGGTTCACTTCATTGAAAGTCGAACGCTCTATCCCCTGAGCCATCGCGGCTCTTAAACCCACTATTATAATTTTACACTTTTATGAAATTAAAGTTTCAAAAATAAAATGTTAAAAAAAAAAATCTCTGACTGTGTGATATTTTACACGATATGGAGAGTTAAATTCGAGAACGACATTTACTATTCTCTAAAATTAAAACGCCTATATCAGGTAAATTAAGTTGGATAATATCTGAACAATAACTTTTCTTATCTGAAAACATTTACTGATATTGTAAAAAAAAATGACTGCGTGATGTTTGAATGAGCATAAGAATCGACAAGAAGTAAGAAAAAGAAAAAAAGTGAAAGGGTATTGTTGTTGTGAGTAGGAATGATGGGGAGAAACCGGTCACATTGAAGAAGGAATGGGGACAGGTACCAAAGACCCAGTTTCGGAAAGAGTAAATCCTCCTTCTGTCGTTTAAACCGGATATTGAAAAGTGATTCACAAAAAAACCATTACTTTTCAACTTTATTCCATCCACACAGTCAACACGTTTCTCACGTCTTCAAAATAACCTTCCAAGAATACTTCGTTTGCTTTATCTTATTTATTTATTTAGTTTTAATCTTTAAAGTAAGTATTCATTTTCTCATTTAAGAGTGGCTTTTCTATCTATCCTAATAAGTTTGTGAATTAATTTCGTTTAAAAAATCATGACTATTTTCTAAAGATAAAAAAAAAAGTTATGAAACATTCACACAATTTTTGACATCTCTTTTAGATTTTTAGGTCTAACGTGGTTTTGAGACAGTGTCAAAGACTATTTATTTAAAATTGATTCTAATCTTAAATTCGTAAATGAAGTCAGATACACGAATCATAATTTTTTTCTTTTCTTTCGAAACCATCACAAGTGATTAGCTGTTTAGTTTTAATCCGTTAGCGTTGTTGTTACTTGCCGTGGTACATGCAAATGCAACTTGACGTGGAAAAATAGCCAAATAATTTCTATGTACTTTGTACTGGAGTACAAATCCTATTTCGTTCTTCAACAGATTGCAGTTTATAGTGTTTAATGCGCATTGATGACTGTTACGTGTTGGTGTTATTTGCCGAAATAAAATAACAGATCAGTTTTTGTACAATGTGTATTTGTGTGAATAACTTCCTCTTGAACAAAAAATAACCGTTTATAGTGCTTAAAGACTACAGATGACAGTTGCGTAATTATTATTATTTGTCGAGTAAAAATAATGAAGTTAACCACACACTATGTAGTGCGTTTTCTATCATCGTCTTGCGCAGAAATGTCTCGCGCTTATAATGTTTAAAGAACACTGGTGTGAAATTTTTAAAGATTGAATTTCTTTGGATTTAAATTATGTTCGGCGAGGTTTTGAAAAGGAAGCAGTGGTTGGCTTCCTTCATCTTCACGTCGATCCTCCTCTTCAATTTAGTGTTGATTGTGAGCCGGCGTCGATCTTCTCTTGTTTTGGTGAGAGAAACTCAGTGCTCATCAGGGTGTTACATTCACGTTGCCTTTTTCGGGAAGTATGCCTTCAAAAAGATGAAGATCGTACGTGGAATGGCCAGGACATACGGCAGTATTTTGGAACACACGCATTCTCCTGTATACCTTCACGTCATGCTGGACCGAATGAGCAGGAACAGAGTCTCTCGGACCCTGAAGAAGGTGGCCAGACAATTCAAGAGAAAGACCAATGTATGTTTTTCCTTTTTATTCTTCTTTTCTTTTCAACCCTTGAAAAAAAATTAACTGACTTGATTCAAAATATGTTACTGTAGTTGTTATATAACGACCCTGGTGACCTTAGCGAAAGTGGTATACGGATCATGGGTTAGAGTCCCCTTGCCGTCAGCCTAGCCGTGGATGGTTTTCGTGGTCTTCCTCTCCATGTAAAGCAAATGCGGGTTAGTTTAATCAAAAAGTCCACCACGAAGGCAATATTCTCCCAATACTTGATCCAGGAGTTCTCTTGTCTTCAGGATTGGGTTCAAAATGACAAGGTTGAACATTAGTAGTCGTAAAACCAAAAATTGAGTCGGCAGTTCGACAACGGCTCTAAAATGAAATGTAAAATTAACATTAAAAGTAACACAATAGCAGTGTATGGTGTGTTTATTTACAGCAGAAGGTGTTGTCTCTTGCACTTCCGAGTCAATTGTACTTATTTTACAGAGCTGCAATTTCCGGAGTTAAAGTAAAAATTATTAAAAAAAATACGCAAACATACCGATAACGGTTTCGACGACACAACAACGTAAATAAAGCCAAAAATAGCTAAATTTCTTTTTTAAAAATTTGTTATATAAATTATATGAATACAAACAATCAGTAGGAATTTATAGAACTCGAATGAAAAAAAATTATTATAAAAATCAATTAGTCGAGTCGCAAAATCCTCCATATTCCCGTAACAAATCAATACCTCTAGGGGTACTGATCCAGGACTTTCCTTGTCTTCTGGATTGGTTCAAAATTACAAGGCTACGGAGTTGAACATTAGTAGTCGTATACCCCACAAACTTGGGTCGGCTGATCAACGACGAATATGTAAAAAAAGTTTTAAAAAAACTAATACACAGTGTAAATTGGGTGATGGTATGTTTATTAATGTATATAATAATAATGCACGAAGTGTTTATTTACAGCAAAGGGCGTCGTCGTCTTTAAAACTTCCGAGTCATTCCACCCATTTTACAGACCCTCCCTTTCCGGAATAGAAATAAAAATTGGAAAGAAATTTGCAAGCATACCGAATAAAGCCGAAAAAATAGCTACAACATACCGGCCTTTTTTTAAAAAATTAGTCCATAAATTTTTTGAATAAATATTCACTAGGAATTTATAAAAATAGAATAAAAAAATATTATAAAAATCAAAGTGAATTTTACATCCCGAACTCATAATTTGTGTCTACGATAGTGGGATAAAGAAACCTTTACCCAGCATGGAAAACAGAATACGTCATTTGTTAAATTAAAATGCGTACTTGAAGATTAATGATATGAAAATGGGACCTTGTTGTTTCAGAAATTTACATCCATTATCTGTAAAAAATAAGGTTATTTGAAAACTTGAAAAACAGTTTAAACTGGATGTGGATTATTGAACTTTGTAAAGATATTTTAGTTTTCCTTCTAAATCTATTTTAAAATTCCTTTTGAATTACATGATTTGCTTAATTTTTTATTTATTTTTTCCAGTGTTTTTCTTTTTTTTCTTCTTTTTTTTTTCGCTTCATAGAACATAAAGAAACGGAAATTTTGCAAGGATTCTTTCCGTTAAGTAAAAAGCATTATGCAATTATTTTAGTGCCCTTAAATCTTTAAATAAGTATAAAAAATGTGAAAAAGAATTCTATAATTAATCTGGGAATGTGGTATACCTGCGTCCTATTGTGGCATTTCAGTTTTTTAGCTGATAATTACAGAAAAGAAATTAATGAAAACAATTCCCATGTGTACTTCATTTATTCAAACCTAACATATATTTTTGCTGGAATTTTAATTTAAGTATTTGAGTACAAAAAAAAACAAAAAAAGTGATAATAGGACCTAGGTACATCACTAGTAGCGCAACTTAGTCTTTTGGGTGGTGAACCTTGGACCCAGTTGAAAATAAAATTTATTCCACAGTCAACAAAAATGACACGTCAACATGAAACGTGAGTTTTTCTACCGGCCTTTGGGATCCTCCTAATGACATGGGATTATAGTTTGTCTACGCAAAGAACTCCCCTAGCCATTCTTCTATAGTGGCGGTAACTCTGGTTACGAAGTTTAACTCTTTCAAGCGGGGGTGTTGGGTCATAATTTGAGACAAGATTTGGCTCGTGTTGATGAGAGAAAGGGAATCAGGGGAGATTGAAGCTCCCCTCTTTGAAATGAGCTATTTCTTGTTTTCATTGTAGCAGACGGCTTTAGACTTTGTGGCGAGGGGTGTTCTTTCTATGGACAGACTATAGGTAATTTGAAGATAATGTTAGAAATATCAACTTCATAAGTTGCAAGATCTTGCCTTGTGAATTAGGATTTTTTTTTGAGATATTCAACTTCAACTGAGATGTTAACCATGCAACTTTTGTTCCGTGGCATCTAAAATATGAAATAGAATCATCACATTAATCATGTATACATGCATTTCAGCTCTATTAGCCTATATGGGCGTTATTTAAAATAATATGTTAGGCAACTAAATCCTTTTAATCACCGGAGGTTCAGCTCTTTTCATGTTTTTACAAATATTTTTATTTTGACATTCATCAACACTTTGTTAATGGTCTCGAATGTAAAATTTAGTTACAGGATCTTTATTTTACTTTTGTACAATTTCTGATTAATTTTTGTAATTTTTTGGTCTTTATTTTCCGATTGCCTTTTTGTTTTGAATTATATTCTATATTCTACTTTGTGGCTCCGCATATAAGTATATGAATTCATTTTTAGTGAGATGATAGCGTACCTTTTTATTTTATTTTATTTTATTATAACCGTCGTTGAACGGCCAACCCAATTTTTGAGTAATTTTCTCATAATTTTGCAATCTTGTACCCGATCCAGAGGACAAGGGAACTCCTGAATCAAGAATTGGGAGAAATTTTTGCCTTTTTGCAGGAACTAACCGACATTTGCGTAACATGGAGAGGAAACCCACGAAAACCTCCGACGGTTAGTCTGACGGCAAGGGGACTCTAACCTATGATCCATCTACCACGGATTATATTGTGATTATACGTCAGCACTGTGGTTGGTGCAAGTCGGATGCGGAATCCGTATCGTCCAGTCATTGCTGGGATTCGAACCCGGTTCACCTCATTCAAAGGCGAACGCTCTATCCCCTGAGCCATCACAGCTCATGTAGGTGTACCTTGTACCTATCCATGGTACGCAACTCTCTGTAGGTTCAAGGTACACCACATGATCATCTACTAAAATAAATCTGATAGCCATGTAGAGCTTAAGCCCAGTATTATTATAGCTAAAACAATAAAACATTTTTTGTTATTTACTCACAGAAAAACAGTCTTCATTGATTATAAACTATAACACAAAAAAGAAAGAGGAAGAACTTACTTTTAATAGGTGCATCCAATCTTTAATTAATATCATTTTAACACAATATCTCAGCAAAAAACCAAGTTTTTTTCCACTAAAGGTGCTGGTGGCAAGTACATAAACAATACATGTTGTGTTATCACATCACTGTAAATAAATCTAAAATTGAATTACGACCGAGGTACACATAAGTACAAGGTTTTTTTAAAAAAATTAAGTTAACACTAAAAATACTATCTTTAATTGTCCTAATAAATAAATTTACCTTACAGCTGCGTGTATTCATGCATTACAAAGATTTTTTTAGATAGAATTAAACACTATTAATTTATTATTATCAACTGTTTAATTAAATACTTTTTCACAAATTAGCTCATAGTTTTCAACTGTAATTAAAAAATGGTTAAAAACAAACTCTTTATAAATTTGAAATAAAACAAACAATTTGAAACTTTCTAAAGTTTAACAAATTATTAAAACTATGCTTTCTTGCTTCGCAACAATCGTAAAAAACATTTTTTTGAGGTTATTTATTATGCGTTTAAAGTAAATTTTAAAAATAAGTTCTGAAACTTCCACTATTCAATCTAATTTGTTATATGCAACATTTTATTTATTTTATATACAAGCGTTAACAATTTAAACATTTTTTTAGGAAATGATTTAAAAATAAACCTTAATGTCGTTTTAAGGAAAAATAAGTTCAACTACATTAAGCTCTGAATTTTTTTTCTCCGAAGAAAAGCTGTATATGATAAGGTTTTAAATTATTCTTTCAATGATTGATTCATGCATATTTTTAAAAAATAAAACTGACTTATTACAAATATCACAAAAAATAATTTTAAGTAATTAAAACACATTGTTTATCCAAAGACTATTCCGCATAAAAATATTTAAAAAAAATTATATTTATTATTTATTTCAATAATTGAACATTGAATGTAAGCAGCAACTCACATTTTAAATAGAAAAGTCGATATACCTTAAAACATAGTCGACCGAAGATAATGTGCTTAAACAGCATTTATGCTACAAGGCTTAAGGTAATATTAAGCTATATTTTCAAATTATTCAAAGGAGCCTTATCGCAAATATAACTATTATAAAATATAATTTTAAAAACTTGCATAAGCTTCTACTTGAAGCAAAAGTTTGATGTTAAAATGTCACCATTGAAAAAAGTGTGGCTTACCACTGTAAGTTTACTACTACCTCATGTCCTTCAATTGGTCTGATTTTGGAAAAAATGTTTTCATTACTTTCGACACTTTTAATAATTATGTTTGTCTTCATCAGGATTCGAAAACTATAAAATAGATACTCAGGGTGGTAATTAGGAAGCACTTGGTATAGACAATTTCTAGTAAGGTCAACTTCGATACAAAATTGAATATCGATATCGATATTTAACTTTGATATCGAGGAATTGAATATCGATGATATTAAATATCGATAACCGCTTGGTCAACACTATGAAAAAGTAAATAAAAGTTACATAGAAGTGTGCCTTTTATAAGGACATTTTATTTTGTAACCGTAGTTGAATAGTTGACCCAATTTCGGGTTTGCGGTTACTAATGTTCAACTCCGCAGCCTTACAATTTTGAACCCAATCCAGAAGACAAGGAAACTTCTGGATAAGGCGGTAATGGGAGAAATTTGCCATCGTGGAGGACTTTTTGATGAAACTAACTTCCATTTGCCTTACGTAGAAGGGGCAACACTGAAAACCTCCCACGGTTAGCCTGTGGCAAGGAGACTCTAATTCATGATCCGTCTATAGTTTGTCTACGCTAAGAACTCCTCCCGCGACAAAGTCTGAGGCCGTCTGGTGCTATGGGAACAAGAATGACGCATTTTAGGGAGGGTAGCTTCGCTCTAGGACTAACACAATACACCGAATAAAGCGATTCCCTTTTTCTCGCCGACACGACTCCAAAACAGTGACCCCGCACCCCTGCTTGAAATAGTCATACCTCGTTACCATAGTCACCGCCACTGGTCCAGACGAATGTCTCCGGGAGTTCGTATTTTAGACGCACTATACCACTGCGAATATTTTTGTCAGAACTGTGGTCGGGGCGAGTTGGGTGCGGTGGTCGTATCGATCAGCACGTATGAACCACCACAGCTGTTATAAGGACATGAGCGTTATAAAATACAAAAATACTAGAAAAATTAGAAACTCACATTTTTTTTAATTTCTCCTTGAAATAATCAAATTTCAGAGCTGCTTTTCGAAAATAATAAGAGGAAATACGTTCGAAATGCATTCGAAGTTCACCGTCATAATATCACTATGGTAGTTCGAAGAACAAATATTGTATAGCAAATACTAGGGTAGTTCTCGACACACTTTGTCGTTCTTTACCTATGGTTATTAATCATTGATTATTCATCTTGAAGAAATATAGTTTTGAATACAATGCGTTGTATCACTATATTACAAAACCCCTTACAAAACACATCGCGTAGAAAAATTAGTCGCCGAATATGGAATCGTGATTATAGCGCCACAAGAATCGATGCATATAAATTCTGAAATTTGAAATGGTGAAGAAAATAACATTATTTTATTGACACGATTCGTCTGATCACGAGGCTGTGAGATAGTAATTCTTGTAGATTTTCTTTTGTATACCATAAACAATGTTGGGGAGCCATAGACTTGCTGTCAGTCCTCTTTAAAATAGTGAAAATAGTTTTTTCTGGACAATAGGAGATAAGATTTAAGTTAAATTTTTTTCCTCCATTTAACTACAAGTGATACCCAAGTTTTGAAGGCGTTTTTTTTTTCGTGATAAATTTTTCTTCACATTTTTACGATAACGATACGATTTTTACGATATATTCACTTTAAAACGATAATAATGTCCAAAATTTAAAAAAAAGGTGAAATTTAGGTTTATATTAGATATTTTACTTTAATTTGTTTTCAGGAAATTAACGTTTTGTATCCATGAATTTTTGTTTTAAAAAGTAAACATGCAATGCCAACCGCAAAAGAAACTTTTTAAATGCTAACCTAAAAAATGAAGATCAGTTAAAATTTAAATAATTTCAATACAAATAAATTAAAAATTATTAATATTAAAGCATAATATTTAAATTTTTTTCAAAAGATTAATACGCATTCACGGAAGATTAATTAACTCATTTTGTTAATTTATGAAATAAATCCAGAATGTATTTAAGGTTTTCGTAAATCAAATTAAAATCACGTGAGTCTTCCTGTTAGAAGCTCACGTGAGCCTTCCTGTTACTGAAAGCTGATTGATTATAATTTAAATAGTTGATGATATCTACAGTTTTTATTATCTTAAAAACTATAGCTCTATAACGCAATTTTACATACCATTACGTACGTCAACCGTAAAAGAAGAACGATACAGGGCTGAGCTAACCATCACGTTGGGATATACTGAGAAACCATATCATTTTCTACGCATCGTTTCCGTTTTTATACAACTCCCGTTTTAATTAATAGACTTGTATCATCATTATTCGACCTTCTTTAACTTCTTACGGTGGACTCCAGTTTAAGAGGACGCCATGCAGTGAGAGAAAATTTTCGTGGCAAATTCTCTTTTTCCTTCATAACTAATTTAAAATTTAAAGTGTAGAAAAAAAGAGTTCAGACTAACCTAGAGTAAGCCATGAAGTTTCAAATACTGAAAAGAAATTTTCAAAATATCAAAATGAAAATAAATTATGAGATGATTACTTAAGATTACGCAACGGGGAAGCTCTCTTCTAATTATTTGTTTAATTTGCATTGTAATATTTTAAAGTATATTTTTTTTCAGCCATTGAAACTTCATGAACTTACTCTATATTTGCCTGAACTTAACTTTTTCTTTCTTTTAAATTAGTAATGAAGGAGACAGAGAAGTTGTGACTAAAATTTTCCAGCGTCCTCTTGTGACTAGTTAACGCGATGATCTGTAAACATTAAAATGAACTCATATTTTTATTGATATTATTTGCTTAGCGTTTTCACTCTCGCCTCAAAAATTTGTTTTAAAAATTTCTATTTTAAAATTTGAAAAAGAAATCGTTTAAAACTGTGCAAAATATAAGTAATTATTAATTTTATCAACATTCAGTTTTTTTTACTGATTCGCCTTGAATTTAACCCCTTCTCGCTCTCGTGAAAATGACGGGGTGAGTTATCGCTCGCTATTTCTCGCTCCCGTGATATTGACGGGCTGGAATGTTCAGTAGTAATGCGCCAATAAGAATAAAACTAATTCATTTCTTTTGCCCGGAAAACATTTTATTTCTCCTTTTACACACCAGATAGTAATACCAGGATATTTTTAAGGTAATTGTAAATAGTTAGTTTATTTTAAACTAGACTCTAGCACTAATCAAATACGCGTGTTTGGCAAAATAGACACTTTTATGACAGTTTTCTTGAAAATTAACCGATCGTTAAGGGGTTAAAACCTTTTTCAGTTATCGAAATAAATTTAAAAAAGAAGTCTTTGTTGTCTCAATCATATGTAGCATACGATTTATCCGTAGTGGTAATCCTTCAGTCATGAAATATTTCAGTTCTACGTATAGAGAGAGCCAAATAGAGAGAGAGATAATAGTCATAGAGTCATAGAGATAATAGTCAAAATAACTGTACTATTAAAAACCTAGAGAAGTGTATGTGTTGCGCATGTCTCTCTGTATGTGTTGTTGTCTGTTGTGTGAATGTGGCTCACCCCATGAACGGGTATCTGTGACAGTGTGGCGTGGGTAATGTTGCTCGCCTCCGAGACTTAGGTTCACTGCTGTTAAAGAAAAAAAAATAGAGTTATTTCGCACGTGGTTAAACAGCATATTTAAAAATAGCGTTAAAATAGCTTAAAGCATTAATTCATACCAAATTTTATAATAATTACGAGTACAGATGAATATTGAAATTAAAATTCAAACTGAATTCTGTCTCGTAATAAATATTATTTTTAATACTGCTCCCATTTTTTTTACTATTAATCCATAACTATTGTGAAATTCTAATTTATTTGCATTTTAAAATACTTCAATTAACACTGTATTTTTAATTAAATATTAATTCTGCATTTTTCAATTTTGCCTCGAAAATTGAACTTGAAGAAAAGTGGTAAGAAATTTTATGCTTAGCAGCGAAAGAAAAATAGTTTGTATATTGTGATAAATACTTTATGAAATGCGAAAATGTTATTAATTCTGAATTCCAGTTAAATAAAAGCTTAAAACAGGATAGAAACAGAAAAAGTCAAAATACTATTTAATTTCTTCAAATATAATATTTTCCACCTTTTTTTGAATGATATATTTATAATAAAATGCATAGAACATCTGAATATACAGATTTGAATGAACAGATCTTACAAATGTGAACTTTCATAAATTAAAGACAGTCAATTTCATTACTAGGAAGTAATTTAAATAACAACAATTATAGACTGTATGAGCAATAAATTATTTCGTAAATATCTTTTATAAAAGAAGTATAGAATGATATGAAATCAATTATACACAAATGTTTTGTACCAAAACTATACATCAAAAAAACTGAAACATGGACATAAATTTATTATATTAAAATAAAATCTTATAACTTTAATATGACATCTGAAAAAATTCAAAAACTCTTTACAGATATAATATATCACCACATGCTTTGATAACGATTCTAGCATGGAATCAGATTTTTTTAATATTCCATGATCATCCATATTTAACACTTTAAATTTATAAAAAAAAATTTTGGCAAATAATTTAAATAAATAATATTTTATTTAAAAATGCTGAAAAACAGCTAATTTAAATGGAAAGTGCATATAACACATTCTAAATAAAAGTATTTAAAAGAAAGCATTTTAAAAATAAAAACAGCAAAGTATATTTACTTACCAAAAGGTAAAACAGCATCGTCTTCAGAAATACCGCTGTTAACTAAAAGTTGTTTTAATTCTTCTTAATTCAAAATATTAAGTGACATATTCTCCAGAAAAAAAATCATACGTAGAATAAAAGCAAAACCATAATCTATTTAGATCGCAGAACAAAACAATTTTATTTAGATTTATTATCGTTTGCTTTTTAAAATAAAACGATAGAAAATCCAACTTATAGCTCACACACAATTAAATAATAAATAAATCACTGATGTTTAAGCGATAACCACTCAAGTATTGCTTAAGTAAATACCACTCAAGTTCGAGTGAACGCAAAGCAAGAATTTCGCTCAAATATTGGTGTATTTCACTCAAGTTGAGATAAAAAAAAATTTCACTCTTTTTTGAGTAGGGGAAATCACTATTTCATTTTAAGAGAGTATATACACTGGATTTTAATTAGATTTTTTAAGATTGATGTCATAACCTGCTAAGATTGATTGTCGCAATCTGTATTGGCGACTACTGGAAATATACTTCATACACTGGATTTTAATTAGATTTTTATTAGTTTAAAAATGAGAAAGATTAAACACAGACATTGTAAAAATATGAACCTAATTGATTTGATCGAAATTCACAATAAAAAATCGTCCCACAGTGAACTGATCGTAAAGACACGGTTCCCAGTCAAGCATCTCTGGCTGCGGTCAGTGTGCGGGTGGGTGACCACTTCGATAAGTCTGCGTAGGAACCGAGGGTGTGCGGTATCGGTCCTCGTTAAACAGTTCTACCGTAAAGTACTCACTTCGCGAGCAGGTGTCCGGGCTTCCGAAGCGGGGATACCATCCCCTCTGCAGAGGATCAAAATTGTGATGGTATGTCTTCGGATCATCCTCAGGGATGTTTCCCAGACCGTCGCCAATAGCCCATTGTGCAGCTCTAGTGATGATTGCGTAAATGAACTACAGCAACAACAATAAAAAATCTCTAGTTAGAAATATTTGATTGCGAATTTTAAAAATTTCTAACTGGAGATCTTTGAAATTCTTCAGTTATAGTAAAAAAATTATTTAACGCCTTTGTAAAAATTTCTTCTCTTTCTTTCAGGTAACTTTCTACGATGTTGAAGACATGGCTTTAGAGAACAGAGAATCGATTTCCGTCATCAGGAAATATTTCTTCAGCAAGGACGTAGGGAAGTACGACGACGATATATTCTTTTTATCCGAAGTTCTCCACACTGCACTTCCCAAAAGACTGCAGAAGTTGATATTCTTGGACGTAGATCTCGAATTTCAAACCGACATCCTTCAACTGCATCAAAAGTTCGAAGATTTCAGCGAAGAAAACGTCATGGGGATAGCTCCCGATCTGCAGCCCCAGTATCGCGTGGATTTCACCGAATTTCGAATTCGCAATCCCGGAACTCCAGTCGGATCTCCAGGCTTTCAAGGTTTCAACACTGGCGTCGTCCTCTTCCATTTGCAGAAGATGAGAAATTCCCAACTTTACAACTCTCTGTTGAATGAAACGATCCTGGCCAATCTCTGTTCGAAGTACCGTTTCCATGGTTACCTAGGACATCAGGACTTCTACACGCTTACTGGTATGGAACATCCGGAACTCTACTACAAATTGGATTGCTCCTGGAATCGTCAGCTGGACACTGGGTGGAAGAATGAAGTCGAGCGGAGTATATTTGATTCCTACCACAACTGTACCGGTAAAATAAATGTACTTCACGCCAATGGTGATGCAGTTTTTCCCCATGAACGGATCATATAAAAGCTCTACAATATTGATTGAATTTTGACTTAAAAACCGATTTTTTTTTTAAAATTTTGATTTCAAACATTAAGATGATATTGCAAAATAGCTGTGATAAATAAATATTTATTTTATTTTTACTCAATTTGTTTCTGTATAATTTACGACATTGTTGATCTAATGCAATACTTAAATTCAAAACTTCATTTGAATATCAGCAAGTTAAAATTAGAAGAAGTTTAGTATTGATCAACCTTAATATGTAATTATTTTTTAAAATTTTTTTTATAAGAATTGTGCCATGAATTAAGTCATGAATTTTTACTTAAATGAGAAAACAAAAAATTTTCAAAACTCAGATCTATTTGTATTTATATTGATAAGCATCGTTTAAAAACCAACCCAATTTTTGCGGTTTACGACTATTAATGTTCAACTCCGTTGACTTGTCATTTTGAACCCAATCCAGAAGACAAGGAAGCTTCTGGTTCAAGGATTAGGAGAAATGTTGCCCTCGTGGAAGATTTTTTGATGGAACGTAGCCGCATTTGCGTCACATGGAGAGGAAAACCACCAAAGCCTGCCACGGTTAGCCTGACGGCAAGGGGACTCTAACCCATCCGTCTACCACTGCGGATATTTTTGTCAGCATTGTGGTTGGTACGAGCCGTGTGGAGTTCGTATCGATCAGCACGTATGAACCACCAGGGCTCTTATAAGGACATTAACGTGACCACATTTGCGTTACATAGTGACAAAATCACGAAAGAACCTTCCTCGATTAGCCTACCGGCAGAGGCCTGGATGAATTTAAAAATTATCTGGTCGAGTTTAAAAGTTATAGGTGGATATTAAGGGGAGGTATGAGGTCACTTATATGCATGAGCAACTATTTTTCCATTCTTTAACTATTATTAGTTGTTATAAAAAAGAAAAATAATAATTTAAGGAAAATGAATATTTTATTTACGTTACAATATTGAAAAAAAATATTTTTGATCCTTTTGTTATATACGTTCTGGAGTTAGCGAATTTTCAACTAAATAATATTTTTCTAAATTTTCACTAAATACTTCCAGAGATTTTCGGAATGTTAATATGACGTAAATTAATATGATATGCTTCAAATTAATAAAGCAGTATAAAAATTACAGAAAATTCGCAAAGTGCTCATACTTTTTATGTAATAAACGCTGTGGAATTTGCGTGCTATGGATTAAATACTATGTTTATTTTTTACATTTCCAATAGAATCTTCCAAACACATACAAGAATTTTCAGAAAATATGAAGCGCATCCATAAATATAAGACCAGTTTCAACTTAATGAAATTGGACGAAAAAAAATTATTAAAAGAAATAGAAAACTGTCAATCTTTTTGTTAAGTGTAATATTACGCTCTAATATTACACATATTTTGGAATAAATAATATATATTTTCCAAAAATATTTTCAAACATATATGGGTAATTTAAGAAACTATGACTCAAAGGCTTTAAATCAGTTTTAAATTAATAAAGTGGTGCAAAAAGAAATTCGCACCCTTATGGAAGAGTAAAATAAGCTGCGAAATTTGCATATTTTAGACTAAATATTTTTTGTAAAAATTATAATATTAGCTTCCAGACACGTATGGAAATTTGCCTAAAATGTGACGCACTTGGATTAATATGAAATCTGTTTAAAATGTATAAAGCAGTATAAGAAACTATAAAAAATTTCCAAATGGTCCATCCTTACGTTAATATAGTGCAACTTCTGAAATACATGTGTTTGGTCAAAATAATTTTAAAACGTTTTCGATAAATATTTCCAAACAAATATGGATATTTTTCAAAAATATACTGCACATGCATAAACAGTTAAGAAGTTTAAAATTAAAATAATAAAGGGAGATATGGGGTCATGCATAGCAGGACTAAGTAAAAAAGCGCTCTCTTTCCCCTGTATAGGAGCAACAATTTTTCCAATTCTAAGCTATTAGTCGCTCTTATAAAATAATAATAATAATTTAAAGAAAAGAGATATTTTATTTAAGTGAAAATGTAGAAAAAAATTATCAAATGTATTTTTTTTTTAGAAATTGACCATTAGGGGGTTCGAACACTGAACCGTCGGGTCTAGTAATTTGTCGCTTCCTAACACGTAACATTAACGGCAAGGCCAGAGACGGATTTCCCAGTTACATAAAGCTTCAAGTGTTTTTCCGCGCTTTTACAAAAACCATATTGTGTATCTTCGTGGACCCCTTAATTTATCTATAACTATGTCCTTTGGTACGATTGTATAGTATAATACAATTTAATATCTGGTCGAGTTCAAAAACTGCAGGAAAATATTAAAGGGATATATATCATCATTTATATGTATAGTATAGGAGCAAAAATTTCTCAATTTTGAAGCTATAATTCTCTCAATTATAAAAAAAGGAGAAAATATAGGGTAAGGAAAAGGAACATTTTATTTACGTTACAATATTGAATAAAAAATTGAAATAATTATGAAATATAATTTTTTAAATATTGAAAATTAACACAGTTCGAACCTTGGACCCTCGGGTCTAGCAATTTGTCACGTAACACTGAAGGCAAGTCTACGTAACCCCACGGCTTCCCCACTTATCTAAAGGTTAAGTGGTTTTACCCGTTTTTACAATGGAACTATATTGTGTCCCCTCGTGGGTCCCCTAATTTGTCTAAAATTATTTCTTTCAATACGATTGTATAATATAATATAATATAATATAATATAATATAATATAATATAATATAATATCTGGTCGAGTTCTGAATTTATTGGTATATATTAAAAGGAGATATCTGATCATTTATATGCATAGTATATGAGCAACAATTTCTCTATTTTCAAGCTATTATTCGAGCTTATAAAAAAAATTAATTAAAAGAAATATTTTATTTCGTTACAATATTGAAAAAAATGTAAAAAAAATTATGAAATACAACTTTTAGAATATTGAACATTAGCGGGGATTGAACAGCTGATCCTTAGGTTGTAGCAATTTGTTGCTTCCCATGACGTAACAGTAATGGCCACGCCGCACTCGGCTTTGTCACTGCCATTAGGCTTTAAATTCTTTTCTTCGCTTTTGCAATGGAACCATATTGTAACCTCTCGAAGGTACGATTGTATAACATATCATAAAATAATATCTGGACGAGTTTGAAAATTATAGGTAAATATTAAGGGGAGATATAATATCACTTATCTGCATAGTATATGAGCAGCAATTTCTATATTTTTTTACCTATTTTTTGCTCGTGAAATAAGTAGAAAAAATATTTTAAGGAAAACGAAAATTTTATATACATTACAATGAGGAAGAAAAAAAAAGAAAGTTTATGAGCTACACTCTTTAGAACATTGTCCATTAAGGGGGCTCAAATAACGGAGCCTCGGATCTAGCAATTTATTGTGTCCCATCTCTTAATACTTATGGCCCTGCCACACACAGCTTTTATTAGGCTTTAAATGCTCTCCCGAGCTTTTTTAATAGATCCATACATTGCCCACCAATAGATTTTTCTACAATTATTTCCCTCGAAGCAATTGTATAGTATGTTAAAGGGATCATTTATATGCATAGTATATGAGCAACAAATTCTCCATTTTTCAGCCATTATTCGCTCTTTTAAAAATGAAAAATATTAATTTAGGGAAAAGAAAGATTTTATTTAATTTTCAATTTTGAAAGAAAATTATGAAACATAATTTTTTAAATGATCGCCTATAAGGGGGTTTGAACCCCGGACCCAACAATTTGTTGCAATTCTAGAAATTATCACGTCACACTAAACCCCAAATGGCTACGGCACTTATATTAAACTTTAAGTGCTTTTCCGCATAAGTGCTTGTATAGTTTAAAATTGTGTAATATCTGGTCGACCAGTGTTGAACAAAAATGGATAAATTTCGACTCCGGAGCTACGTACACGACTCACGCCGGAACTCCCTTTAATATTAACTTATAATTTTCAAAGTCGGCCAGAAATTAGAGTTTTATATACGAAGATGTAATAATAGCTAAAAAACGTATAAATTTCAAATCCAAAGCTACGCAAACGACTCACCGAGTAACTCCCTTTAATATTAACTTATGAATTCCAAACTCGGCAAGATATTAGATTTTTATATAACAAACAATCGAACCGAAGGGAATTTTTATACACTAATTAGGGCACATAATGAGCCAAAATAGATTTTGTTAATTAACCGGAAGGAAGTTGTTTAAGCTATATATTCGTGGAAGCGACTTATGAGCAGTGGTGTGGTTGTTAGAGCCACGGGTAAAGAAGTTTGTAGACCCGGAGATCAGGGGTTCGGTCCTGGTCACTGGTTACTTTTTAATTTTTTATTTATTTATTTTATTTTATTCTTTTAAATATATTGTTCGACATTTTAACATAAATAAAGTCTTCTACAAATAAAAGTACAATTCTTCTTTTGAGAAAGAACGAATAAAAGCAAAAAAACAAATAAATTTCGACTCCGGAGCTACGCACACGACTCACTCCATAACTCCATTTAATATTAACTTATAATTTTCAAACTCTGCCAGAAATTAGAGTTTTATATACTAAACAATCGTACGAAGGGAAATTTTTATAGACTACTTAGAGGGCACATAATGGGCCAAAATAGAATTCGTAAATTAACCGGAAGGAAGTTCTTTAAGCTATATATTCGTGGAAGTAACGTGTGAATCGTGGTGTGGTTGTTTGTGCCATGTGTAAAGAAGGTTGTAGACTCGGTGGTCAGGGGTTCGGTCCTGGTCACGGATTAAGTTTTAGTTTTTTTTCTATTAACATTATTTTATTTTTTAAAATTTATTTTTCGATATTTCAACGTGAATAAAGTGCTATATATATCAAAATAATTATTTTTCTTTGGAAAAGTGGGAATATTAGCTAAAAAACGGATAAATTTCNAGCTACACACACGACTCATTACGTAACTCCCATTAATATGAACTTATAATTTTCAAAGTCAGCCAGAAATTAGAGATTTATATGCCAAACAATCGCACCAAGGGAAATTTTTATACACTAATTAGGGGGCACATAATGGGCCAAAATCGACTCTTTAATGGAACTATTTTTTTTTTCTATGATTCTTTTTAGCA